ATTGGCATGTTTGATGCATGTGACCCATGTTTGACTTAATTATGTAAGATACTGTGTATGTGCTTTTGTGTGTTCATGCGGGCATGTGAGAGAGAAACTAAATAGTACACTGTAGAGAGTCTGTAATTTGGGGGACTTAAAAATTTTAAGTCTCCTTTAAAAAAATTTTAAAGGAAATGGTAGAATTCAAATAGATAAATGTCCATGTATTTTCCTAGAGTGTTTATTTCTCCTCCCCCACCCTGTGATTTTTCCATACAGAGCGCCAAAGCAGAAAATGAGCCTGAACATGCATGCGTTTCCACAGATTCTCTCATTAAAATAGATAATTTAGTTAAGCCCAGAAGACAAGCTGTGTCAGAGGCTTCTGCTCTTATACCTGAGTATGTTGGTTTTGTCACTTAATGAATTTCTTTCTAGTACTTTATTGAGGTATAGTCACATGCAGTGAATGCTCCATGACTTTGCCTGTGAGTTCACATGGCTTATTACCACTCTCGGCAAGATGGAGAATACTTCTCTCACCCAGAAAATTGTTACGTGTCCCTTTGCATCCGAGATTTGTTCTCTTCTGTTCTGATTTCTGTTGTCATTGATTAGTTTTGCTTGAACTTCATGTACTTACACACTTTTTGTGTCTGGGTTCTTCTCAACATGTTTTTTATATTCATTCATGATGTTGAGTGTACCTATACTTTGTTCCTTTTTATCATTTATTATTCAGTTAAACATATCGCAGTTTATTCATTTTCCTGTTCACATTTGGGTGTCTTATAATTTGGAGCTATGAACGTTGTTGTATGTGCATTTCTATAGACATATGGATTCATTTGTCTTAGGTAGAAATACCTAGTTTTACGTAAAATTGCTGGGTCACATGATAAGCATGTGTTTCACTTTAAAATAAACTGCCAAGTAGTTTTCCCTAAGCAGTTGTACCATTTTACATTCCCATAAGGAGCGTATGAAAGTAGATTCTTAAAAACATTAAAATGTGAATTAACTAATAATTAGTTCTAATTTAGTTCTGGAGGAAGATGCCTGGAAGAAAAATATATGTTAAATACCTGCAGAATTTAATGTAAATTTGGTCATTTATTTTCTAATAGAAGTGAATAATGCATCTTGCTCCTTTTTCTAATAGGAGCAAAGAAATTCAAACCCTTTAAAGAAGGCGTTTGTAACACTCTTCTGTACGCCATTACTCTTGCTTATCTCACACCCGCTGAGTGCTTGCTGCCTGCCAGGTGCTAGAGTGGGCGGAATTGCCCCAGTCCCGCCTCCATGGCTCCCTGCTGGAGGAGGAGTCACAATCCAGTGACCACACGGGGCATGTTCCATTACAAATTGTGGAAAGGACTGGAGGGAAATGAATGGGAAACGTGACAGATGCAGCTTGGTCTGTGACATCTGGGGAGAAGTTTCCTGAAAAGGGACATTGAAGTCGAGGAGGTTAGGTGGAAATGCCTAGGTGAAGAGAGTGGGAACAGTTTCCGGCTGAGTAAAGGACATTTTTGGCCCTTGAGGAACCAAAAGACAACCTCGGGTTGAGAGCACACCTGGAGGGGTGAGGCTATAAAGGGAGGCGGGTAGAGTGCTGGGCGAAGGAGGTGGGTGCTTTTCTGGAGAGCTTTCGGAAGCCATGGAGTGACATGATCAGATTTGAGTCTTTTTTTTTTTTTTTTTAAACTGATCATGTTTTAATTATGGCCTAAAAAAGACTAATACAGTGAGCTTGAATCAGAAAAATTAAGATTCTAAATAAATTGCTAGGGAATTTCAAATCGGGGGTCAAAAAAATTTTTCTCTATATACAATATGATCATTAACAGACTAGTAAATCTTATTTGGAATGATAAGGCAAAAATAGTAAAACCACACTTTTCCTATAAAAAGTTACACATTATCTTCTGTGGGGACAGCTATCGTACATGAAGAAACAAAGAAGATGTGATCACTCTATTGCACACCCATGAACATTAGGGAATCTGGTCCTAGAATGATCTAGTTATCTTCTTAGATTTGAGTCTTTATAGAAAAATCCACTGGCTGTAGTAAGTAGACTAAGTAGAAGGCCTAAGTAGAAGGAAGCAAGGGCAGATACGGTAAAACAAGTCAGAGGCTGTTTTTAATCCAAGAGTAAAATGGTGTCAAGGAATATGAAGAGAGTGGACAGATTTGAGAAGTATATAGGAGGGAAATTTGTAGACCTCCACAATGGATTGGATAAAAGGGCATGGGAAGCTCAGGAAATACCAGGGAAAGATCAGGTTTGAGGAGCAAGATCCTAAGTTTAGTTCCATATTTGTGGAGACTGAGACGTCTTCGGCTATCCTAAGGCAGACAGTTGTGTTGTGCTTGAATAGAGAAGGCTGTTGCCCAGGGCTGAGTCAGCTCCAGCATCTGGGGGGGAGGTGGCGGGGGTGGGGGGTGCAGGGCCACAGAGCTTGAGGGAGTGGAGGCGAGCCTGCCACACGAGGAGTGGCCAGAGAGGGGAGAGGGGAGCCACAGCCAGCGGAGCGCTCACCACCATCCCGTGGTGCCGAGAGGCTGAGGCTGTGTCTGGGTCTGAGTCCTGTGTCCTGCAACAGCAAAGGCAGTGGCAGGCTAGGGTGTGAGTAGTCCAGGTCCAGTGGCTTAATTAGACCAGGGAGGAGAGCCAGGCTGAGAGGACAATGGGGATGAAGGCAGCACCACGGAGCATGGCTTAACCCAGCCCCCTTTATATGAGTATCTTGTTGGCGTCATCTTATTTTCAAGTAAGTTAGATGTTGCCATCACAAAACGATTTTTTAAAATGAGTTGTGAGAAAAAACACCAATTAATGTAACACTACATAATTTAGCATAAAAAATAATTTAAATTACTATGGATTTTAAATAGTTAACTGTTAAACCTATTCCCAAAGCAGGCAGCTCGATGGAACCCACCGTGGAGTTTATGCCCCAGAAGATGTGTATAGGTTTCTGCCAACTAGAGTTGGAGAATCAAGGACGCTGAAAGTCAATCTGCGAAATAATTCCTTTATAACACACTCGGTAAGCTGGACATGTTACTCTGGGTTTTGAAACAGTAAATGTGTTCAACCGTTTGATAACATTTTTCTCATGCTTTGAGACTTGTTCTATAGATATTATATTTCAGTCATAATGAGTTCATTTTCAAAAAATGCCTTAATACTACCGTATTTGGCAAGAAACTCATGGGAAATTCATGACTCTTTATTTGAAAGTCAAAAATTTTGTTTTTATATTTTAATTTTTAACTTTCTTTTTCTCTTTTCTGTCCTATCACACAGACATATTTCTGGATAACATTTGCTTTAATCAAAATTGAAGAGAAAATTCATTTTAAAATTCCCTTAAATGTATTTTCATTACATCAGCATTTGTTGTCTTACCTAATCTGATGGTGATGTCTAAATTTACAAAATATATCTTTAAAGAAATGCGTGGTATATTTTATGTATGCTAAAATATCTCATTTATATAACCTTATAAAGTGTTTTCTATTAAATTCCAGCTGAAGTTTTTAAGTCCCAGAGAGCCATTCTACGTCAAACATTCCAAATACTCTTTGAGGTGAGTTTTTCTATCATAGATTACAAGTGTTCTCATTGTGGTGCAGGACTTTGTTCCTTGGGAGTGAGGGCTCGTGAGGACTCCTCTGTTGCAGGTGCCCCCACCGTGCTCATGGCCAGCACCCGAGAGCGTTAAACACATGCATCTTCACACGCAGCAGAGGAGAAAAAGGGGCCTGCAGGGAAGGGGTCTGGTGACCGTCCACAGTGCATGTGGCAGTGTGGCAGCCCTGCAGTGTTGGGACCTGGTGAATGACTGCTCTCACCCACATTTTGCCAGCCACACAAATACAGAGAGCCTTAATTATCTTGCGATGAACTTACAGAGTAATTCCTGCTTAAAATGTTATTTTCACTGGTATGCTGAGAATCAGAGACTTAAATTTTCACTAATTGGGACAGAAACCTTCCCAGATGAGTAGGGAAAACTGGTGTTTTCCAGTTACCATTCTTCAAATATCCTATATTATTCTTAATTGGGGCCTTATTTTCTTGTCTTTGCTAATTTTCTTTTCCTATATAATGTACATTTAGGTTGAAATTTCAAATTGAATTATCACTGTTATTTAGAATTTAACAGTAGGGTTATGTTGAAGTCAACGCTGAAGAATAATTTTAACTTCATCTTTGACCTTTTAATTAAGCCACTTAATTATCGTAAGATCTCTCATTTTAGCTTTAGGGGACTGTTACAGAGACATGGCATATTCTGTGCAAGTTTGGACCACTGCAGACATTCTAGGACTGTACTAAGTTACAAGACTAGCAGTGCTGTGTGAGTGCTGGGAGGGTGACGTGGCTAAGGACTGTTCCTTCTGCCTCTTACCCTTTCTTTTCACTCTTTTATCTCTTTCTCCACCTCTTTCTCATACTATGTACTAGAAAACATGTTTATATACTTAAGGGCTAAACACCTTCTTTCCCAGGAGACTAACCTAAAGGCACAAACTGTAGATTTCAGTTCCGTAAATTCAGCAGTGACTATATCTAGAAAATTATCATAGACATAATCTCTTTAGGCCTCAATTTCCTTGTAAGTAAAATGGAGATACTAATGCTGTTGACAGCACAGGATTGAGGGATATGTAAGAGATGTATGAGTAACAGAGCCTAGACGTAGCAAGCATCAGCAGATGTTAGTGTCTTTGCTGCCATCGTTAAATCTGTCCTTTAGGTGGTCTTTATTGGCAGGACTCATAATACAAACCCCAGAGATTTTGCTGGAAATCACAGTTCACATCAGTGCTTCCTCATTTAATCCCTTGATAGAGTAGAAAGGCACAAGTTTATAAACCAACTAAATCCAAGTTTTCCAACTTGTGGGCTGTGTCTGAGTTCTGTTTTCACAGCAGTCTGTGTAGCTCCCCAGTTACTGTAGGTTGCCCCGACTGGTTTGAGACTAGTGATGTTGCAGTGTGGGTAATGATAGGGTGGTACGAGTAAAACACATGGTAGCACAACTGCAGAAGCAATTAGTTTATTCAAAAAGAGATCATTTAAATTTCTAATTGTAGTAACTATTTTTAGTAACTGAGTACAAATGTTACTGAATAAATTATCTATCGCGAACACTGTTATTATCTAAACTCAAATTTCATCATAACTGCATTATTCATTCTTTATTTATTCTCAGGCTGGTTCACATACCATATCTTAACCTGCTTTTTGCAGGTGTATATTTTTAAACACAGTGGATCAATGGAATAATTCTATGTAAACTAGCATACATCTGTCACAAATTGGAAGGACTTTAGATTTGTATTCCAAAGGGCTCTTTTGTCTTAAATGATTTTTTAAAAAACCTTCTAAAAATTAAAAAATTACCTTGAAGAGCCTAGTACCAACTTTTAAAATAACAGTATTTACATATACCACATCTATAGTTTTGGTAAAGAATCATTATTTAAAATAGCTGATTAAATTGCTTGTTAAATTGTTTAGCTTTATGTAGCAGTTTCTATTGTATAGCTAGGGAGGAGGCAGTCAAAACTGGCCTGGAGTTAAACATTCATTTTCCAGCTTCTATCATTGAATACATTGTGGTTTCAAATTCTCTTTTATTGTTACATTCTTTACTTAATTTGTTGTTTTTACAGATTTTAAAAAAATTATATTTCAGCCAAATGTTTTGGACCAAATCAGGTACCTTTGTGGACCGTTTCCAAAGAAAGAACCTAAACTGCTCCCATTACAATAGTGTTACAAGTGGCAGAGTCTGTTTCTGATATGGTGTGTAGGAACATGACCAGCCAAGCAGAAGAGATATAAGGGGAATTGTGGGTGGCAAATCCTTGTGTCCATTTGGGCTGCTATAACAGAAGATCACGGACTGGGTAGCTTGTAAGCAGCAGGTAGTTATTCCTCACAGTTCCAGAGACTGGGAAGGCCAAGATCAAGGTACAGCAGATTCCATGTCTGGTGAGGGCCCACTTCCTAGTGCATAGATAGACATCTTCTCCCTGTGTCCTCACGTGGCCGAAGGGGAAGGAAACTCTCAGCAGCCTCGTTGACGAGGGCACCAGTCCTAATCCTGAGGGCGTTGCCCTTGTGACCTGAGGATTTCAGCAAGTAAACTGGGGGGAGGGACACAGACATTTGGTTTATAGCATGTAGTACAGTTAGTTGTCATTTGACGTATTATAAACTTAGAGAATATTGACATTGTCTAAATTGAAATATAATTTTGATAATTAACATGGCAAGTTATTTTCGTATCAGCCATATTTATTTTTCATCATCTAAATTTTTAAACAAAATAGTAACTCTCTCTCTCCTGTGTGGACCTACCTGTATTTAAAGTCATTTTAATTGCTACTGCTGCTGCCCATGTAGATTCTGACTTCAGTATTATAGACATGATGGGAAATGATGCCTAAAACATTTTTAATGAGAAATTCAAGTTTTATAAATTAGACGACATTTTGATTAGCTTCAGCTTTTTTCTAAAAACTAGTTTTGAAATATAAAATGTGTGTTGCTAACCATTTAAAAGTGACATTTTTATAGAGGTGAACTTGTTGACTTGGAATTCCAGTGCTAAAAATTTTAAGCTGTCATAAAGTAGAGCACTGCTCTTGTGTGCAGCCTGGGTCATGTTAATGCCATCTGAAAGAACTTAGAAACGTGAGAAAATATTTTTAAATTAAGCAAAATTTGGACAGTTTAGGTAAGCTAGCATTTTAAATAATATCACAAGATAACATTTTGTTTATACTCTTCGAACATTAAATTTAAATCTTTTAAAACTTTTATGCTTAGAAGACAAATTTAACAGATACTTTTATGCTTTATTAGTGGCAGATACTTAAGTTATTCTGATCATGATGAGTTTTCAGAAAGTGTTAACATCAACATTAACATGTATATAATGTTTACATTATGTAAATACATAATATAGATTGCGGTATCAGCTTTAATAATGCAACTCATTGTAAATTTGGTAAAGTATGAATAAGAAAGTCTTGTGTGAAGCACTAATTTTGTGCTCTGTTTAGACAATGAAACTCTTGGTCATAGGAAACTTTTCTCTTGTGACACATCCATAGGCTTAAAGGCGATGTACAGTAAGGTGACAGATGGCTTCTTTATGACAGAGAATGAGCCGTGCCCACCTTGGAGAAGAAGTAGGGCAATAGAAGCAGATCGTGCGGGAATTTCACTTGACAGTTTTTACCCCAGAGCTGGAGTAGTGGGTGCTTACTGTAGTATTGAGTGTTTTTGTATTTGTCCAGATGTTAGACACTTTGACTTAGGACAGAGGCTCATAACACATAATGGCCAGATGAAAACACCAGTTAGCTTTTCCTGGCAGGTGGAACAAAAATCTCTGTTCTTAGAACCCTGAGAAGCAATTCCCAGCCTTTCGTGAATCGCAGTTTTAATGCATCCAGATCACTCTCTGATCTATGACACCATTAACTGCGCACTTTCAAAGCAGCAACATGACTTTAGTTATCTGTCGGGTACATGAAACGATGATGACCTTACAAATACGCGCACCTTTCCATGGCCACTGGGAGTGCCTGCTGGGCTGTCTGTAAGCCCCAGCACTAGCACATGACGTGGCACGTGCCCTGTGGGCTAGAAACTGAGGGCAGCGTGCGAAGGCAGAGGCACCCCCCTCGGAAGTTACAGGGGAGAGCACGAATGTATGTGGGGGATATTTAGCCCCCTTAAAATGACAGATTATAAATAAGGAAAAGTTGCCAATGGTTTTTCTGTGAAGGTTCTTTTTTTGGGTTCTAGTCGATCCTTTCTGTCTTGCATTTATATTTTTTGAAAAAGAATTTGTTCATGTTTCCACTTAGCCCTGAAAAGCCTCTTTCTCTTAACCTATCCTTTTATACACGTCTAATGCCCGCTGAGCTGTTGCAGCAGACGGGTTTACCTCTCCGTGCCCTGGTGTCCTCACACGGAGCGTGCTGAATGACACTGGCGGGCTCTGTCTGAGCCGGCAGGCCCCGCCTGTGCAAGTCACAGCCGAGGAACAGCGTTACCTGCGAGCTGTTGTGCCTGCTCACCAATTCATGGGAACCAAATAGTTTGGTACTTTTTTCAATTTCTTTGATAATGGTGGTACCTTGGATATACTAGTGTGCCAGCTTTTTCCTACAGAAAGAGTTCCTTTTAAATTTTCTTCAAAAAGGAAGAAAGAAAAATTACAGTTGCTGGAATTTATAGGCTCCACTAAGCTCCTTCCAAGCAGGTGGGGCCCGTGCTAAGTGGGGCTGAGTGTGCATAGCCAGTGGCCTCTCTGCTCTCCGGACCCGTTTCTGCTCGGCCTGCCCGTGCTGTCCAGTTAGTCATTAGCTAGTGAGAGGGTTTGAGCCCCATGGGGCTCAGCAGACCTCCCTTTTACCTTTTCTTGTGTGTGTGTGTGTGTGTGTGTGTGTGTGTGTGTGTGTGTGTGTGTGTGTGGAGAGAGAGAGAAAGAGAGACAGATTAAAACTGTTTTTTTTGTTTTTTTTTTTTTAAAAAAAAAGATAGGGTCTTGTTCTGTCACTCAGGCTGGAGTGCAGTAGTGCAATCATAGCTCACTGTAACCTTGAACTCCTGGGCTGAAAAGATCTTCCCACCTCAGCTTCCCAAGTAGCTAGGATTATAGGTGTGTGCCACCATGCCCTGCTAATTTTTTAATTTTTTGTAGAGACAGGGCCTGGCTATATTGCCTAGGCTGGTCTCAAACTTCTGGCCTTAAGCAGTTCTCTCACCTCAGTCTTCTAAAGTGCTGTGATTACAGGCATGAGCCACCATGCCCAGCCTAAAGCAGTTCTTAATCACAGTACAAAGTACTGCTTTAAATGTCCTTCTTGCCGGTAGTGTTCTATAGCTATATCAAACTTCATGGCTCTTTCTAAATTGCATTCCAGTTTATCCAAAGTGTCTGTAAGTCTGAAGTAAATGATATATTTCATCATTTTTAAAAACACTTTTTCAATTGAATATAGAATAATTCTATATTCCATAATGAAATCTGCTAATAATGGGCTCTTCCAGAGATTTATTTTGGGATATTTTATTATTTTCAGTAATTCATAAAGTATAAAGCCTTCTTAAATTGGCAAATTGTACTACATTCTTCTGAGTATTGACATGTCAACATGAAAGAGAAAGTTGTAGTTAATGCCATGGGCTAGGTTTCATTTTTTAAAAACACGTTAGCTTTGACATGGTAAAATACGTACAGTGTATTTAGAGAAGTAACCCAGAGTTTAAATAAAAATAGAAAGATATCTTTGATACACACACACACACACACACACACACACTCTGTAGATGTATAAGGATATGCGTATCTGTGCTATCAGTTATATCCAAGAAGAGGGCTTCTAAAACATTTTCTAAATTTTAAGCCTAACGTGCTGTTCTGCACCCAGAAGCAGACACTTGTGCTGGGTTTTTATCAGGAAAGATACTGGAAACAAAAGCATTTTTCACTTCCAGTTGCCAAACTTTAAAACGTGTGGCTCTAAAATGAGACTAAGGGATGAAGGATCTTCCCTATGAGAAAAGTCTAAAAGCTCTAGACTTTCACTTAAAAACAATCGAGACTGAATGTCGATGCCATCACATGGGCTGTGCACGAAGCGTGTGCAGTCTCCTTCACCACAATAACAAGAATATGTCTCGAAGCTCTTGGACATAGCTTTATGGACAAAAACAGACCCTCCCCCCCAAATACTACTTTTAAACCTACCTCTATTGAAAATAAAGTTTTCAGAAGAGTTTGGATGAAAGTTTCATATGAATTTTAGAGCAAAAACTGCATAGCCCTGTTAACGAGAGGATGGGCAGGTTGTTTCAGTATTCTTTCCAGTGCGGTCCACTGCCAGAGCTGAGGGAAGTAGGGACGTTCAGGGTGTTCTCCGACCCTTTCTTGGGTGGATAGCTACAAAGCTCTACATACAATAGGTCAGACCTCGTATTTCCCTTTTTCTGTATTTGTGGGATGGCCAGGAATATAGAGATACATACGTATGCAATACTGTTTTAATTCAGTTGTAGATTTTTCTCTCCTTTGTGTCAGTTGCTTATTAAGTAATAGCATCAAAGAAATTAGAAGTAAGTTGAAGCCGACCGTAACTTGACTAGGCTCCTTGATCAACACCTCTGCCTGGTGTTGTGCTGACGGTGACAGGCGGTCGCTTGTGGCTGTCGCCAGGCCGCTGCCATGTGCCTTTCTCTCCACAGAGCCCAGCACTACATCAACATGCCGGTGCAGTTCAAACCCAAGTCGGTGGGCACATTCGAAGCTTTACTTGTCATTCAAACAGACGAAGGCAAGAGTGTTGCTATTCGACTAATTGGTGAAGCTCTTGGAAAAAATTAACTAGAATACATTTTTTGTAAAGTAAATTACATAAGTTATATTTTGGTAACTTCATTTTTCTACACTACAATGATGCTTTTTGTATATATTTTGTATGATAAATTGAGTATGTATAACTGTAGATTTTTTTGTTTTTAGAAACTAATACTGAAGACTTGACTAAAATATCATGTATCTAGCCTGCAGTATTGTACTTAACTTTTATAGGAGAGAAGAAAATTCTATTTTTGCATTGATTATGATATTCTGAATAAATATGACATATATTTTAATGTGGTACATCCAGAAATTTTCCATTGAACTTGTCATTTTCTATGGTGTCATACAGAAATTAGAATATCACCTTATTCTGCTAATTATTTTCAAGCTTCTGGGTCTGTTCTGTGATTTTTTTCCTCCATTGCGGTTTCCTTTCCCCTAAGAAATTCCTTCTCTGTTCCTTCTGTATTTTAGTTAGTTCCCCAGAGTAGAAAGGACAACTTACTTTCAAAGCTGTTCTTCTCCAGACTGGGGGGGAAGTCTTCATAGTCTATGCAAATACAGTAGAGAGATTGATATATTTTTAAATGTCATTTATTATAATTAAAGCTAGACAGGACAACTGCTCCAGAATCCAGTGTAGAAGGGGCAGGTCCCAGTGGGACACAGGGTGAGGGAAAAAGCGGCAGGTTCCTGAGGGGCCAGGACACCCCTCCTGTGGTGCGGGCTTGGGCCTTGGCAAGCTGGAAGTAGAGGAGGCAGTATGGTTTTACCAGGAGGGACGTGGTGTTCACTGTGTTTCTGACCATTGCTGGTGAGTCTCCCAGTGAGGTTTTCTGAGCCCGAGCTAACAGCCTTCCCCTTTGGAGCAAAAAAATCCCAGATTTGTGTAGTAGCTTGGGGTGACCACAAGTGGATATTATTGGTGGAGCAGAAAGACCTTGGGGTTTACAAAAAGCTGCCTAGGTGACTAACCCGATTACAGTTAAGACCAGTAATTGTGAAGTTGATAGAAAATCAAATCCTTTCTTTCCTCTTCCTCTTCATTTTAGTTTTGCCTAGAAATTCTTGCTTAGCAAATTTGTGAAAACATTTTTTCCACGAGTTAAATAGGTAACGCTCTTACTGATCCTGCCTGACTCCTGTTCTAGGTTTTGTGCATCGAATGTGAGATGACTTCATGCTTGATTGTGTATTTGACAACATTCAGCCTCAAAAATTCTAGAACAGTGGTAATTCATTTTTAAAACTGTCTGCCATGGTCTTTCGATTCCTAAGGGTCGTGATACTTCTAATTCCATGTAATTAT